CCTTGCAGCAGCATTTTGGACCATCTGTAAACGCATTATAGAGGACTGACTTATACCATAGTATAGTGAATTACAGTAATCTAAACAAGATAGAACAAACAAGTGAATAATCTGTTTAAACGGTTTTACAGAGAGTAAAGATTAGATTTTTGATAAACGCCATAAGTGGAAGAAACTTGATTTGACCACTGCACTCATTTGTTTCTCAAAACCCAGGTTGCAATCAAAAAGAACACCAAGATTTTAGCACAGGGTGTAAAGTAGGAAGAGAGATGACCAAAATGAAGGGCACAGTTTTCATATGACTTTAAACCAAACAAAATGAATTTGGTTTTGTTCTCATTTAACATTAAAAGATTCTGCTTTAACCGTATTTGTAATTCGTTTAGACAACCCAAATAATTCAGGTCCTAAGAATTCTTTACTTTTATGCTGCAAGGGAAAACACAGCTGAGTATCATCTGCGTATAGGTGGAAGGACAATCCATATTTCTCAAAGATAGCACCCATCGGTAGCATAAATATAGAAAATAAAACTGGGGCAAGAATTGAGCCCTGTGGCACCCCACAAGCAAGTGGGCGTGAGGACGAACTATGTTGGCCAATGGAAACACTAAAACTTCTGTTTGTTAAAAAAGATTGAAACCATTTCAACACCTTGCCCTGTAACACAACACAGCTCTCCAACCTGGAAATCAAGTTGTTGTGGTCAAACATATCAAATGCAGAGCTTAAGTCTAAAAGCACCAAAGCCACAGCATTCCCTTTATCCGTTTCTAGTAAAATATCAACTTTTAAAAGTGCAGTTTCCGTGCTGTGTTGAGATTTAAAACCCGACACTGTAGCTGTTTTTAGGCAGTCAGGAACAACCCCAGTAATTAGACTAGTATTAAAAATAGTTAAAAGATCATGTCCAACAGTATTGAAAATCTGTTTTTGAAATCTAGATGGAATGATATCTTGAGAAGATAAAGTTGATCTTAGACGTTCAACAATGCCTATACAGGATTCAAAAGAAACAGGCTGAAAATCGCTCCACAGCATCGGGCCACTTGATCTCTCAGGTTGAACAGAATTCCCCAAGGGCAGGTTAGATCTTAATTGAATCGTTTTCTCATTAAAGAATGTACAGAATTGTTTACACAGTGATACGGAAGCATCAGGATAAATGTTGACGGGGACTGAGCACAGAATCAATAACAGAGAAGAGGGTCTTAGGTCTGTGTAAATTGTCACCAATAAATTCAGATAGATATTTGGACTTGGTGGCCTTAACAGCTCTCTGATACACATATAATCTCTCCACATTTCATATGAGACCTGTAACTTATCCTTGCACCATTTTCGCTCTGCTCTTCTGCAAGCCTTTCTAAGCAAACAAGTTGAATCATTAAGCCATGGCTGGGGTTTAGTAACAATACGTTTGGGTTTTAACGGAGCAATAAGATTCAGAGTAGACAAACATTTTTGATGGAAGCCAACTTCTTTTCCAAGGACGCCGTAGTGATGCCTTTTCATGGGACTTGTCCTTATAGGAGGCCATGTTTCCTTTCTGCACTGCCTGCAAGGAGTTATTTGTAGACATGATCTTGACAAAGAAGCTCTTTGACCAGTAGTTTGTATATTATCAGTAGTTGGCATATTATGTAGTTTCACTCCATCTGCATTGATTAGTTTCACATTACGCCACTGAATTTGTACCCTGAAGGTTTTCTGAGGGTGAGATGTGGGAGCTCAGTAGGCCCACATCTTGCATGAGCTTGCAGATGACATTCTGGAGGAGGTTTACACCTATGACCTTTCGGTGCAATGTGATGATCTGGAGCAGCGGTGTCTAGTCCTGCTTCTGAATGGCCAACTTCCTGCAGAGTTTAGCTCTAATGTACCTGCCTGGAAGTTTGTAGTGATCCCGAAGACCTTGATTAGCTCATCCAGGTGTGTTAATTGGGGCGGGGGAAGCCCTGATCTAGAGAATCTTGTCATCAGGATGGCTGGCTGTGTGCTCAACATAGGCCTCTTTGGGACAAAGAGTACCTCAAGCTCTTTACTGAACCTGCTCCTGTGCCCAAGACCACGCAGGCAATATGATTGTCATTGAATTCTTTGTGGTGTTCACACTTCCCTCCCTGCATTCCTACAGTGAGGCCAATCCTGTTTCCAATGCTCAGTCCTTGTGGACTTTGGGGCCGAGGGCAACTTCATTGACTCCTTGCTGGCGGCCAAGTGGGGCCAAGAGGGGGAAATGAACAATCTGTGTGGCTCTCCACCAAAGACCTGCCAGCTTGTAAGTTGGCACGACAGTTAACTGTGCCATTCCCTATTATCAAGGACCTCAGTCTATTGTTCAGGCTTCAAGTCTCCCTCCATAGAGTCGAACTCATGAGTGTGAGTGAAATGTGTCTGTCATGTTTCTTTGAATCCTTCCATCTTGAGTGCATGTTTTATAGCCACTAATTCTCACTCACTGGGAGAGAGATGAGAGACCTTACTATTTTCTGGGGAATACTGGGAAAACATGTCATTATAATGTGTAGCAGGGTTTTGTGTCATTTGTTTGCATTTTCAGCATTTATTTTGAGAAATTACTTCCTATAAACCTCTAATATCTCTTTGCTCATCAGACAAGCTCTGTATTATGTTCCTTGATCTTAAAGTGCAAAGAAAATCACGCTTTTTCTGTGGCAGCTCTAAGACTGAAATGGTTCACCATTGAAGATGAAGGCTCAACTGAGGTTTTAAAATCCATCTTACGATATATTTATTTTCATTGACGTTTGAATATGTTTGTCTTTTGGGTATGATGATTTGGGTGGTTGTTTTTAGTATGGTCTTTTATCGAATGGTTTATGTAATTTTTTGTTTTACAAAAAATAATTTTGATATGCACAGCACCTAGGTGTACCTTGTACTTTTGAAAGTGCTTTATATAGTATGACTTTGAGTTGAGTTGATTTCACAAAGAGTAGGACTGTGGTAGGTGCTTATTGTAATGACATCTGAAGGTGCTTCTGAACACACTTGTTAAATGGAAACAACATGGACTGTATTAAGCTGCTGAAACACTGTTCTGGAGCATTCCAACCCAATTTGATATGTGCAAATGAAACACTCACTGCTGGAGACCAGTGTGGCCAGGAATCTGGACAGCCCTCCTTGTTGGGACCTTGGGCTATGGTCACACCATCATGACAACAGCCGTACCTGAGAGAAGTACATTTGCATTACATTTCTGGTAACTTACAGTTATACTGTAAGAAAGAAATTATGCATTGTGACATAATTAGACTGCATCAAATTAGTCTCTGTGATTAACTCATCCAAGTCCATGTGTACCTGCTCCATGTGCACGATGGTAGGCCTTGGTCCTGGGGACAGCCTTGGCTCTGTGGTCCACTGGCTGGAGTACTTCCATCAGGACAGCAGCCATAGTAGGTCTGGCTACAGTGAGGGGTGAGAGGCGTGCCATGAGGTTTGTGGACAGCATTGTTTTGAGGAGTTTCTGTTGTGTTAGACAATAAAAAATAACAAGTACCTTAATGAATGTTTCAGACAGGGAGCTTCTTCATTTGTTTACGCGGCGCGATGCAACGCAACGCGTAAAAAGACAATATAAATCCATAAATCCATAATCCACAATTATGTCCCCACTTTATGCAACGAATGCCTCGTTTATAATAGGTTTTCATGTTTTTGAATTATCGCTCCGGCCGGACAGGGCATCATCACAGTATGTGAGGGGCGTAACATTTCCGTCACACGCTTGAGGTATTCGGCCAATCACAACACACTGGATATCTGGCCAATCAGAGCACACCTCGCTTTTCAGACCGATGAGCTTTGTAAAAATCGACGCGTTTCAGAAAGGCGGGGCATAGAGAAGAAACAATAATGTACAGTATGTGGAAAATAATGTGTTTTTTGAACCTTAAACCGCATAAACACATTTCATTACACCAAATACACCAAATAATGTTCTTTTTAGCAGCATCATATGACCCCTTTAAATGTCTTATTACAGGATACTTAACAAATTTAATTGGATCTGTCAAAAAAAACCTTTGTAGCAGTTATTACGATGGAAAAACCTAAGCAATATATTACAATTATATGTACTTTGAAATTATGAACCAGAGCAGTGTCACAGATTTTGATACTAATATTGATAATTATTTACATAATATCTTCAAGATAAAATGAATAATTATGGCCATTCAATAATATATTTGAGAGCCAAGATTTTTTACATTTAATAGGCATTTATGAACAACTTTTGGCAATAAGGGATATTATTTATTTTATTTATTGTTAAACAATCCAAATGAAAAACAGAAATGAATGTGTTATTTTTTCTAGTCCTACAACAATATACAGCAAAACATAATCCCTCATAGTCTACAGTCCATTAAAAGTTGTTAATGCTTTGTATTTTTTTTTTAGATCCAGGTAACTAGTCTCAGATGTTTGTTTGTGCACCCAGTTTAGCAGCATCATATGACCCCTTTAAATGTCTTATTACAGGATACTTAACAAATTTAATTGGATCTGTCAAAAAAAACCTTTGTAGCAGTTATTACGATGGAAAAACCTAAGCAATATATTACAATTATATGTACTTTGAAATTATGAACCAGAGCAGTGTCACAGATTTTGATACTAATATTGATAATTATTTACATAATATCTTCAAGATAAAATGAATAATTATGGCCATTCAATAATATATTTGAGAGCCAAGATTTTTTACATTTAATAGGCACTTATGAACAACTTTTGGCAATAAGGGATATTATTTATTTTATTTATTGTTAAACAATCCAAATGAAAAACAGAAATGAATGTGTTATTTTTTCTAGTCCTACAACAATATACAGCAAAACATAATCCCTCATAGTCTACAGTCCATTAAAAGTTGTTAATGCTTTGTTTTTGTTTTTTTAGATCCAGGTAACTAGTCTCAGATGTTTGTTTGTGCACCCAGGAACTGCACACAAAGACCATCTTTAACCAGCATAAATTTCCAAGCTAGTCTTAGCTAGTTTATGCTGGTTTGATTCTGGTCAAACTGCTCTAGACAAAGCTGGTTAAGCTTGTTAAGAATTGAACCTGGGATCTGACTAAGATCAGCCTTACATACAGCATGTGTGTACGGATGGAAAGATGGATGGATGGACAACCATGTTTAGAAACAAACCTAATGCGGGATCCTCGATATACGGCAGGAAGCCATGAATGGTGTTATCGTGACCTGTTGGGTCCTGCATGCTGGGCACCTCTGCTCATACCAATATAAGAAAAAGAAAGAAACTTCATAAATAAACTGGATCAAACCCATTGAAATACTTTAGAGTTTTGTAATAAAAAATTTTTGAGATCATGTATCAAATGTGAAAACGCTATGCATTCATGTGTAGAATATGTGTACACATAATTCTGAAAAAAGTTGTTACCATGAATGGAAGTGTGAGGAGCATATAAAAAGCTAAAAAAAATCTTGTGTACCCTGAGGCCTGTAGCAAGGCTGGACGTTGCATCTTTCCACAGTAAGAGGTTTGGGTTTGGACTGGCACTCCTCTACCCTGTACAGGTTTCTCTGTCTGTCTGAACAGATCACCTGCCGTTCCCGCAGCCCCGAGCCACAGCTCTTAGAGCACTTGAGAGAGAGTTTATGAGCAGGTAAGCTTATGACATATTTAGAGCATTGCATTAGCGGCGCAAAAGGTCATGGGTTCGATTCCCAGGGAACACACATACTGGTAAAAAATGTATAGCCTGAATGCACTGTAAGTCGCTTTGGATAAAAGCGTCTGCTAAATGCATAAATTTAATTCTGCTAAATGCATAAATTTAATCAAGAGGGAGGGTGTGCATGCTTATCCAAAGGCTTGTCTGTAAATGAGGTGTGGTTTCTTCCTTACCAGGCCCCAGTCTCCTATATGCCAGCCAATGGGGCTCCTGCAGACGGGCATCTCACAGGCCTGTGTCTTGGGCGGCTTCGGTTGGGTCCCACATACGTAGTCCTCCAGAGAAGCTCCGTCTGAACCCACACACACCACATCTCGCGTCTGTTTCCCAGAGCCGCACGTCACAGAGCACTACACAGACATTAACAGGTTTGAATTCATACAGGAATCCACTGCAATATATAATCAATTATAATATATAAAAAAAATAAAAAAAATTTTTATTTGTTCATTTTTACTTATTTAAAAATAGAAACAAATAACCGCCTCACACTACCTCGAGAAAAAATACAAATTAAAGATAAAGTAAAGCTATTAAAACAAAATAAAAGTATAATGCAATAAGAATTAAAAAAAAAGTTTAAAAGACGCACAAATCTCCAAAATAAAAATAAATTATATTTTACACAAAAAAGGCCTATTTAAGAACCAATAAGATGTTTTGACATTAATTTTAATGACAATTAAGTACATTTTTTACAAAATGTTATGGTGATACTTTACAATAAGGTCCCACTAGTTATCATGAGTTAATGCTTTAACTAATATTAACAATGTGCACTACATTTGTTACAGTTTTTATTATCATTTATTTATCTTTGTTATTTATTATTCAACAATAATATTCATTTCATGTCATTCAGTTCATGTCTGCTCAGGCCAATTAAATAATATTAAAAGATTCAACTTCTGGTTTTAACAATGCATTAGTAAATGTTGACATTATCATTAACTAACATTACTAAAGACCTATTTTTCATTGTTAGTCATGTTAACTAATTTATATAATTGAACTTTGTTGTAAAGTGTAAGGTTTTACTTTTTTACTATAATTCCATAACTCTTCATTATGGTGTTATTCAGTAAAAATATATAAATAAATTACAGCATCTGTATTTAAACCAGCATACAACAAATAGCAGCCAAATGTTAAGTATAAACACAGCATAAATTTCCAAGCTAGTCTTAGCTAGTTTATGCTGGTTTGATTCTGGTCAAACTGCTCTAGACAAAGCTGGTTAAACTTGTTAAGAATTGAACCTGGGATCTGACTAAGATCAGCCTTACATACAGCATGTGTGTACGGATGGAAAGATGGATGGATGGACAACCATGTTTAGAAACAAACCTAATGCGGGATCCTCGATATACGGCAGGAAGCCATGAATGGTGTTATCGTGACCTGTTGGGTCCTGCATGCTGGGCACCTCTGCTCATACCAATATAAGAAAAGGAAAGAAACTTCATAAATAAACTGGATCAAACCCATTGAAATACTTTAGAGTTTTGTAATAAAATTTTTTTGAGATCATGTATCAAATGTGAAAACGCTATGCATTCATGTGTAGAATATGTGTACACATAATTCTGAAAAAAGTTGTTACCATGAATGGAAGTGTGAGGAGCATATAAAAAGCTAAAAAAAATCTTGTGTACCCTGAGGCCTGTAGCAAGGCTGGACGTTGCATCTTTCCACAGTAAGAGGTTTGGGTTTGGACTGGCACTCCTCTACCCTGTACAGGTTTCTCTGTCTGTCTGAACAGATCACCTGCCGTTCCCGCAGCCCCGAGCCACAGCTCTTAGAGCACTTGAGAGAGAGTTTATGAGCAGGTAAGCTTATGACATATTTAGAGCATTGCATTAGCGGCGCAAAAGGTCATGGGTTCGATTCCCAGGGAACACACATACTGGTAAAAAATGTATAGCCTGAATGCACTGTAAGTCGCTTTGGATAAAAGCGTCTGCTAAATGCATAAATTTAATTCTGCTAAATGCATAAATTTAATCAAGAGGGAGGGTGTGCATGCTTATCCAAAGGCTTGTCTGTAAATGAGGTGTGGTTTCTTCCTTACCAGGCCCCAGTCTCCTATATGCCAGCCAATGGGGCTCCTGCAGACGGGCATCTCACAGGCCTGTGTCTTGGGCGGCTTCGGTTGGGTCCCACATACGTAGTCCTCCAGAGAAGCTCCGTCTGAACCCACACACACCACATCTCGCGTCTGTTTCCCAGAGCCGCACGTCACAGAGCACTACACAGACATTAACAGGTTTGAATTCATACAGGAATCCACTGCAATATATAATCAATTATAATATATAAAAAAAATAAAAAAAATTTTTATTTGTTCATTTTTACTTATTTAAAAATAGAAACAAATAACCGCCTCACACTACCTCGAGAAAAAATACAAATTAAAGATAAAGTAAAGCTATTAAAACAAAATAAAAGTATAATGCAATAAGAATTAAAAAAAAGTTTAAAAGACGCACAAATCTCCAAAATAAAAATAAATTATATTTTACACAAAAAAGGCCTATTTAAGAACCAATAAGATGTTTTGACATTAATTTTAATGACAATTAAGTACATTTTTTACAAAATGTTATGGTGATACTTTACAATAAGGTCCCACTAGTTATCATGAGTTAATGCTTTAACTAATATTAACAATGTGCACTACATTTGTTACAGTTTTTATTATCATTTATTTATCTTTGTTATTTATTATTCAACAATAATATTCATTTCATGTCATTCAGTTCATGTCTGCTCAGGCCAATTAAATAATATTAAAAGATTCAACTTCTGGTTTTAACAATGCATTAGTAAATGTTGACATTATCATTAACTAACATTACTAAAGACCTATTTTTCATTGTTAGTCATGTTAACTAATTTATATAATTGAACTTTGTTGTAAAGTGTAAGGTTTTACTTTTTTACTATAATTCCATAACTCTTCATTATGGTGTTATTCAGTAAAAATATATAAATAAATTACAGCATCTGTATTTAAACCAGCATACAACAAATAGCAGCCAAATGTTAAGTATAAACACTCTACAATTTATAAACATTTTTTTACATTACAGTATTAAGAATTACTTTCAGAATCAGAAGATTTATTTAGAATGCTTACTTGTCATGAAAATAATATGACAATGCAAAAATATGCTTCATTTTCTTAAATGAAGACATTTTATTTAAATGAAAATCTGCCCTATTTGGCCTATTAAGTTCATTTTAATTTTAGGGTGGACAGGTTTTGAGAGATTCACACAAAAAACGTTCTTACAATTTTATCTGAATTTTATATAAAATGTTTCATAAAGTGTAGTTTATCTACCTGGCTCCAGCTGGAAACTCTGTATTGAGCGCATTTCTGCATGTTACAGTTCTGTTGGTTGAGCGGTCTGGGTGCGTAGGAAGCACACTGGGAATCCTCCACCAGTCGAGATCCTGCCGAGTCGTGAGACATACACTCCACTCTCCTCACCTGAAGACCCCCGCCGCAGGTCACCGGACACGGGCTCCACTCCCCAGTCACCCAGCTGACACACGAACACACACATCAGCAGAAAAAAGCATAATGACGGTGAGTTATAGCATTTAGAGGATGCATTTAGCCGGCCTACTCAATACCAGCTTCCACAGTGCCAGTCTAACCCAAAGAAACTGCATGCTTTGGGTCATTTACATTCATGAGTATGAAAATGTTCTAGGTTAAATACAATTTAAGATCTGTTAGCACAAAAATATTGTGACACATCTTTCAGTTTTGCTCTTTCAATGGCAAGCAACCAAGGCATAATTCACTCCTTTTGAGGAGGGACTACTTTTCTAGCAGATGAACTTCTGTTTATGCATTATAGTATATATATAATACAGAACATAATATGTGACCCTGGAGCACAAAAGCAGTCTTAAGTCGCTGGGGTATATTTGTAGCAATAGCCAACAATACATTGTATGGATCAAAATTATAGATTTTTCTTTTATGCCAAAAATCATTAGGATATTAAAGATCATGTTCCATGAAGATATTTTGTAAATTTCCTACCGTAAATATATCAAAACTTAATTTTTGATTAGTAATATGCATAGCCAAGAACTTAATTTGGACAACTTTAAAAGTGATTTTCTCAATATTTTGATTTTTTTTGCACCCTCAGATTCCAGATTTTCAAATAGTTGTATCTCGGCCAAATATTGTCCTATCACAACAAACCATACATCAGTGGAGAGCTTATTTATTCAGCTTTCAAATTGATCTTTATGACTGGTTTTGTGCTCCAGGGTCACATATAATACAGTATAAGCATAATTTCTGTATAATTTGCTCCATGTAAACCGCACTTTATGTTAAATGTCCCATTCTGGAATCCACAGATACTGAGAGTGAAAATAACAGAGTAATAAATTTGTTAGTTATTTTACATATATTTATTTTAATAGCATATTTTAAACATTTATTCACAGTCTATTGGATTCTGTTTTAAGCACAGCAACTGTACACATTTTCGATTGTTTCCACAACTGATGGGACGAGTCAAAATGATTTACAGCGGTAACTGATAGCATGCCACAGAAATTGCATTTAACCGAGAACATTTGAGAGAAAAGACAACAAATACACACCTACACCTACATTAAACAAACATATAAAGATTTTGCATTCTTGAAAATGACAAGGACAAAGCAAGTGTTCAGCAGAAACACTTGGCCTGTCAAAGCTGAGCAGGTGCTCCCAGAAACCTAAAGATGAGAGAACAATTATGAAGATATCGGTCACGGGGGGACAAAAGAATTCGGTCACTCCCACAGCAAAAAGCAAAAGCACATGTTCTCTGGCAGGTCGATCTGCTCAGGGACCAGGACAGTTTCAGGTTTCTGTACATGAACATCAGAAGAAAATCCCAGGGGTACTGCTATGACAAGTGAAAGACTTATTTTAACAGAGCAAACGCTGCTTTCTACTTCACACGCAAATACACTCAGATAAAAGGCAAACTAAATCAAAAGAACACATTAGACCGGAGACACCCAGACAGTGGACTCAACAAAACATCTATATTATACATGTAGGCCATGATTTACTACAGGTTTGCATGTAAAAACTGCTGATCTACTAATGCAATATAAGCAGGGATGGGCAGTATTTCAAATACATGTATACTATTTATACCATAAATACTATTTTGTATTTAAATACATTTAATCGTAGTATTTTTGTAGTTTCAAAATACATAAGATACTTTTGGCCAATCAACCTCTTTATTAGACTGCTGATTTCCTATTATTACAAGTATACAAAAATACTAAGATTAAATGTATTTAAATACAAAATACATTTGACTTTTTCCAAAGGTATTTAAATACAAAATAGTATTTTGTATTTCAAATACATGTATTTGAAATACTGCCCATCCCTGAATATAAGGATTACACACACAACTAAGGATTGTCATATTCATTTTCATTTCTCTTAAAAACAGTAAAAACTATGAAATATTACTACGATATCAAATAACTGTTTTTTATGTGAATGTATTGTTAAATGTAATTTATTTCTGTGATCAAAGCTGTATTTTCAGCATCATTACTCCAGTCTTCAGTGTCACATGATCTTCAGAAATCATTCTAATATACTGATTATATGAAATCAAGTAATATGGCATTCGGCTGTGAGCAATATTTGGTAAAAAGATTTAATTTATATAATGTGTCTAACCTGCACGATTATTCATCTACAAAGAGCACATAATACGTATACTACTACAGCATAAGCTAATTGATACTCTCTATTTTGGATCTTAGTAAATCAGGCCCATCATGTATATAAAATCTATACATATAAAATAGATCTATAGTGCCCGCAAAACTATAACACACAACAACCTACCTAGAACACAGACAGCAGCTCAGCTCAGAGCTCTACGGTTCATATACTGTATGTGAACGGCAGGAATCAGTGAAATATTTACTGAGGTGAAACTACTGCAGTGTCTATAAAGCAAAAGAGAAAAACCTCCTCTGACACACGAGGCAGGCTCAAAGAGACGAGTGGAGCTCTGAGCTGAACAGCTGCCCTGGGCCTTGGTTCATCTTCACATGTGAAGGAACAAGCGCTCACAAGACATAAACATAGCACTAAACATGTAAAACACTGGTGCGAACTGAACTCAAACACATATTAATGATGTGAACAATCTCTTAGACGTGCCAGCCAGGATTATATTATATTATGCACTTAAAATAGAATAAACATTTACTGAAAGAAAATATATAAACACTTATTTGATTTCAGCTAGGTGCAAAGCAAGAGTTCTCATTTCATTTAGTTTAATTTTATGTATCAAAAAACTAAAACGAGAAAATATAGATGTATTTAAATATATATACATATATATAAGTGATACGTAATCTTTTACTGATTGCAAATTACATAAAAATTGTAGTTGGTAATGTAATCTAGATTACTCATTTTAGGTAATGTATTCTGACTACATTACTGGATTACTTTTAGATTACTTTTGACCTAACTTGTTTATAGATTTAAATGGAATTATTTATGACCATTAACCAACAGCAGAGAACATGCAAATGCATTGTTAAATAAATGAAATATTAACTGTAGATCTCTTCAAGTTAATATTGTAGGACAGAGGTTGTTTGATTGACAAATTGTTTTGGGAATGTCTGCATCACTTGAACAAACATTAATAAACATGAAAACAGCAATGACATGGCCAAAGTCATCCAGGTTTGAAATATATTTTTTTGTCAGATTAGTTTAGTAACTGGCACAATTATTAATCTTATGCTCTCATAATCTCATGGTACTGAGATGTGCGTTTGTCCCCAAATCCAGATGTATGGACTGCAAATTAATTTACATGACATTTAAATGACCATCACATATTGTGAATACTCAGCGTATTCAATATGACACACATATTGAATTATTTTAGAAGGTAAAATTTAAGAGAAAAAAAGAATTAAGGAGAATAACTAAATTTATGAATAATTTACTGTCACTGAGTGAGTAATCATGTAATTTCCGGATTTTTGGAATCTGTGTAATCTAAATTACATGTCATCATTTACTACCCAGCTCATTCTCAAAGGCCATAGAGGTCTTAAAGACACTGTTATACTGATGGACTGTCTTTTTGATATAATCTGGTGCTGTGCATACTGGGAAATCAGTTACACACAGACGCTTCAAATTCTTTAGAAAATCTCATAATGTAGTCCAGAGGCACATGAAACATGTGAGATTCCTGAGAGGTTGCATAGTCTGGACACAAATGTGTGCTTGAGGTCATGCGCTGCAGTATATCAGCCTCTGAAGGCTGTTACCTGTACACTTGTACATAGACTCGTGGTGCTTCCATGGGCCTCCACAAGCGTGGCTCGTACACATACGCCATCCTTACAGAACAGGAACAGTACAGCCAAAGCTGTGAGACCCAGCGGTTCTCCACAAGTCAGACAGCAACCGCAATTTATAACACAACATTAAAACACATTTGTGGGCAGAAATAGGTTTATGATATTAAATAAACACTGTAAAGAGACATTCCAGGTGTTCATGCACCAAACACACTACAGCTGGCTTTGAGCTGAACATGCTGTACCTGCGGGTTTGTGGGCACTGCTGTTCATTGCATGTGCGGTTACTGAGGGGTCGAGGGAAGGAAGCACACAGGTAATCAGAATACGCTTCATCATCAAAGGTACAGAAGACCAGACGTGACTGGTAACCTAAAATATATGGAAAAAAGGATTGCAAAATTACAGAAATATAGAAACCCTTTTTCAATATAAATATACCAACCATGAATAAATGCATAACAAATATGTAAGGAAATCCCAACCATAACAATTACATGGGGCATAATATTAGCAGCCTACTAACACAATAGTTCTCAAGCAGGGGCCTCAAACGTCCAAATGGGCCTCAAAATCATTTATAGAAGACAAAACAAGCATTAAGGCTTAAAAAAACAAAAATCAAGATTCAAGCTGTATTTTTTTATATAATTAGTTCCCTCAAAACCTGTCATTTTTATTTGTGATCCAGGGCTCCCACAGTATTGGAAAGCCTGGATATATTGATGTATAGATGGAAATAAGCTCTAAAATATGTTAGTGGGTAGAAATTGCTCAGAAATGGCTGAGCAAACAAACAAGGAAAAAGTACACATTTATTGGTAATAAAAAAGTTGTCACATTTTCAGTTTGTTTAAAGTTTTTGATCAGTTTTCATGTCTTTTCTGTTTTCGGTTTCATGCTCCATTTTCTAACCTGTTAATTAGTTCAGCTCTTCTTCGTTCCCTGCTTATTTGTTTCTTTGGTTACTGATTATTTAGAATTTTCTGTTCTGGTGTGCCTCATTGGTTTCGGCCCATGTCTGCTTTGTATTTAAGTCCTCAGTTTCCAGTTCCCCTTTGTCCTGCATTGATTCTGTTTGTTTGTGTTATAGTGGTTGTATTTTCTCCTGTTTCATGTTTTGAGTGATATTAAAAAATCTTCCTAAGGATCTTCTTCATTGTGTGCTTCATTGCACCCACAAACCCATAAGAGAATGCAGGAACAAAACAAGGATTTAATAAACTGGGCTGAAGATCACCTCCTCACCAACAGCACGGATGACCTCTGGAGTGGTATGTGGAGGAGTTCTTGGAATACTCCCATCTGGTGAGCTGGAGCAATACAATGCCTGCTTTTGGATGGGACTGAAGTTATTAAAATGAATTATGTTAGTTCCTTTCTTCTGTTGATTGTAATAGGCCCTTAGTGGACTTTATTAATTACGTCCTCTGTCTAAACGGTTCAAATTTCGTAGTTGATGCAGTTAATGAGGGCAATCACTATCATCATTCAGTCTCCATCCGAAAGCATGTGGGCACTCCAGCTCACTCTAACTGTGCGTTCACACCGCCGGCGGCGAGAGCGTCAAAGTGACCGGAAGACATTCATTTTCAATGTGAGCGGGCGGCGAAAAGCGGCGCGGCGCGTCTTGGCCGGCGAGGGCGTCAAGGAGAGTTGAAATCAGTTCAACTTTATGGTAATGAACTATGACGCTGTTGGGCGGCAACCAATCGGAATGTAGAATTCCTCCGCTTGAGAGGGTCCCAGAGAACGCAGTCCTGTAAACTTTGGTTCCGACCACACATTAGTTCCTAATCGAGGCCAGCCCGGTGATGGCTCCAGCCCATGAGCACAGCTCAGTAATGGCTCCAGCCCTAGAATTCAGCCCAGTCATGGCTCCAGCCCCAGAGTACAGCCCAGTGATGGCTCCAGCCCTAGAGTTCAGCCCAGTCATGGCTCCATCCCCTGACCAGAGTTCAGTGATGGCTCCAGAGTGCAGCGCAGTGATGGATCCAGCCCTAGTGTTCAGCCAAGTCATGGTTCAGTCTCCATCCGAAAGCATGTGGGCACTCCAGCTCACTCTAAGCCTGCACCCTCCATATACCTTAGCACTGGGACCATGTCACCCAGTTCACCCGTCTTTCCCCAAGACCGAAAGATGATTTCTAACAGCGCTGACCTGATACCTAAAGTGGCGGATCCAGCCTTTACTTCCATCCGGGTAGTGCTGAATAAGACGACTTCTTCTCTCCGGTCCCCAATGCTCCATATAACCTCAGCCTCAATCCTCTTCAGCCCAGTGTCAGCTCCAGCCCCTGAGTACAGCCCAGTGATGGCTCCAACCCTAGAGTTCAGCCCAGTGTCGGCTCCAGCCCCTGAGTACAGCCCAGTGATGGCTCCAGCCCATGAGCACAGCTCAGTAATGGCTCCAGCCCTAGAATTCAGCCCAGTCATGGCTCCAGCCCCTGAGTACAGTCCAGTGATGGCTCCAGCCCATGAGCACAGCTCAGTAAATCTTGTTCCAAAGCTCAGCCCAGTGCCCGATCTGATCCCTAAGCCCAGCCCAGAGTCTACAACATTGTCTATAATGGCTCCAGCTATTATGTGTGATTGGGCAGCCCACATGCATGCAATGTGGTGGTCTACCCTGTCCCTGTATCCTCTGTCTCCAGTGCCTCCCTGGCTCCCTGAGCTACCCCCACCTTCCCTGTACTGTTGGTACCACCCTGGAGGCTTCCTGGTTAGTCTATACCTCCCCTCGTCAGCCTCCAGCGCACCCACCCTTCCACTCCATTAGACTATTTATGGTGTGAGGATGCGCCTTACGAGAAGGGCTGGGGGGGATTACTGTAACATTTTGAGTTTGTTTAAAGTTTATTTCTGATCAGTTTTCATGTCTTTTCTTATTTAAAGTTCTGGAATTATGTGATTAAATTATTTGAATTATTCAGAATTATTTTAAAATTATTTTAATATGTTGCCACTAGTTTCTGTACACAAAAAAAGGTTTGAAATGAGCAGAAACTTCCAGAATTTTGGAATTTTAATATTTTATTGAATTTTTATATATTGCCACTCCTACCGTCTGTAAATAAAAAGTTAGAAAATTAGCTGCTTTGTCATCACAGCAGAAATATCAGAAATATCTCCGAATATCATTTTTGACGATGAGTGGCCTTAGAGTCAAAAAGGTTGAGATACACTGTACTAACAGTGACATCAGCAGGCTTTTCCCTGGTTAAAAATCCCAGTATTTGGTCCTTATTTTGCTTTAATGACAACATGAACAGGCTGGTATGATCAGTGTAAGGTTGTGCATATCCAATGATCCTGTTCTCCAGCAGAGTAGATTTCAGTACTTAAAAACTGTAGTCCGTTACTGATTACAAATTACATGATGAAAACTGTAGGCTAGTTAGTTACATAATCTTGGTTACTGACTACTTGTATTCTGTATTCTGACTACTTTTTAGATTACTTTCAGATTACTTTTTTATCAAATTTGTTTTAAACTTACCATTAAAGTGCCATATTGATATAAAAAAACGAAGAAAAAACAAATTCTATATTTATATCAACATCATAAAATGCATTAAAAATTACATTACACCAGGGTTTCCTAAACTGGGCTTAATGTAATAACTGCAGTCGGTTTGTGAGTTGATAAAAAGTTAATAATTAGTCAAATCAAAAAAAATTTAAAATAATAATAATTTAAACACTTGAACACTAAAAATATAAATATTTTATTTGTTCATCTGCAAGTCAATGTGACCGTTAACCAACATCAGAGAACTGTAAATATGCAAATGTATTGTTAAATTATTATTAGTTATTGCAAGTAAATATTTTATTTGAAGGGATCTGGCTGACAAAAACATTTGGGAATCCCTGCTATCATCATAATTCACCCCAGTTGTTTAATCACAGTACATCAAGACAGGTTTCTGAAAAATTAGTTATGTTTATATACACTGCAAAAACAGGTCACCTGCAATTGTTACTTTAAATAGCTATTTCTACATGATTTAACCCATATAGACTTGTTTTGGTGGTATAAATTATTGTATAAGTTGATTCAGCAATATAATAATACAGTAATATATAATAATATAATAAATAATAGTTTTGACTTAAACCAGTTATGTTACCATTATTACGTTGCCAGTTTTTCAGTGTATGCAAATGAGACTAAATATGCACTTGTTTGCAAAAATATCCAAAACAGAAATCTTCAACATTGGATAAAGCCAGGTTCAAAGTTCTTGTGTCATTTTGTTGACATATTAGAGAGGGTTATTATTACAGAGGGCATTTTGGGTTTCTCTTGTTACCACTCCACAAATCAGAAAATACTGTCAGAACCATATTAAAGGCTGAAAAAAAGCACCATGTTTTTATGAATACAGTGTTACATAAATAAACACTGTTATGTAAACAAACCCCTCTGTAAAGCCCTTCAGAATATAGATAGGAATGAAAATTTCAGTCAAAGTTCCCAGCGCTGCTGAAGTGGAGATTTCTGACTCATTTTGAGAAAGCAGCCATTAAAGATATGTATTATAATTGAAATCTACAGATGCAAATAGATCAATTGTAATTAAACACTTAAATGTGTATCTTGGATGTTTTCTTTCCACTGGTCTAAAATATGGAAGCAAAAATCCTGACCAGTGCATTAAAATACAATGGTTTTGCCTGTAGTATCTTGCCTTAAATGAACAGACACTCTTCCTGTGTCCTTCTACAAAACCCAGAGGCCAAGCCTGCCATATTTCCTCAATGCAAACTGCTTATTGGTGCTCTGACACTGACCTGAGCTGCACTCCTTGCTGCAGGCAGACCAGGAGCCGTAGCTCCAGTAATATCCCTCCACTGAGCGTCCGTTCGGCAGATAATACTCATACTCCACTCCCTCATTGTCCTCTTGAGTGATGAGCTGTAGAGAAACCGACACTGATGGTCATAGTGTTCTGTGTAAAATATGTCTCAAACAGGTGAAGGCACACAGTAAGTTTTTGTTTACATTTTTGCATTTCTTCTTCATTGCAGTGGCCTGGGATTTTACAGATACTGATTTGTTTTGTTCCTTTTTGGGCCAGTTTACACCTGGTTACTTCACGCGTTTTCTCTGATCGGAAAACAATTTTATTTGTTAAAACCGTTCCATTTACAATTGGCCACATAAATTTGTCTCCGCTAAAACGGATATAAATCTGATCTTCAGTTCACAGGCTATACTGTATGCAAATTTAATGGAGTTCACGTCAACAAAAGCAACAGATATGCACCGCATTTTATTCATCATCAGCTAATTTCAAGATGAAAGACGGCATCAGCACTGGAAAGATAAGTTACTTAATGAATATGATTGTGTGTTTAGCGTCTACAACTTACTTTCAGTTTCATTTGCGGCAATTTCTGCGTCGATTTGCTGAAGAGTGCAGTCATATCTAGCTATGACACGTCATATAGCCTATAACACGCTCTCACACGTTTAATATTTTAACATTTTGGGAGAAGTAAAAGTTACATTTGTGGTTTCAACAACCAGAAGCATTTCGGAGGGCTCATGTGGAGCAGCATTTACTGTGAACAGAGACACTCTGAGATGCTAAAAACACCACTGGATCATGAGCCGCTCACGTGTAAATGAACACAGTGCCATGAAATCTGATCTTCAGTTCACAGGCTATACTGTATGCAAATTTAATGGAGTTCACGTCAACAAAAGCAACAGATATGCACCGCATTTTATTCATCATCAGCTAATTTCAAGATGAAAGACGGCATCAGCACTGGAAAGATAAGTTACTTAATGAATATGATTGTGTGTTTAGCGTCTACAACTTACTTTCAGTTTCATTTGCGGCAATTTCTGCGTCGATTTGCTGAAGAGTGCAGTCATATCTAGCTATGACACGTCATATAGCCTATAACACGCTCTCACACGTTTATTATTTTAACATTTTGGGAGAAGTAAAAGTTACATTTGTGGTTTCAACAACCAGATGCATTTACACTTGTCCAGTGCAATCCTCCTGAAGTGGTTTGAGCGATCAGATTTCAATCCGTCTCGAAAGCGCTTCGGAGGGCTCATGTGGAGCAGCATTTACTGTGAACAGAGACACTCTGAGATGCTAAAAACACCACTGGATCATGAGCCGCTCACGTGTAAATGAACACAGTGCCATGCTTCACTCTGAAACATGCAGCTCATATATTTATTCGATTAAATCAGAGCATTTACTATTGGATGACTGTACTAGCCATATCCCACTTTTGGTTTTATTTTGATTAATTGTGAATTCTACATCCAACATTAATTAACACACACAAATCTAATAGGAAACCTTAAACGGGCTCTCACCTCTATCACTAGGGGCTCAGTGGTCGGGCCACGGCCTGTGATTATCTCAGGAGTTTTTTCACCCTCGGTTCCCCTCTGGTAATACAGCACAGTGCCAGCAATAGGTGTGGCACGAGAGAAATTGATCACCCAATGTCCGTTAAGGTAGTACTCACCACGCAGGTTTTTGATTGCTGTCAGAGGAAAAATGCAAGGATAAAAAGGTCAATGATGCTGATGAATAGATTAGGATTAGGATCTTACTCGCATACAGTGGCGGCTCGTCGGGGGAGGCACAGCTTCCACAAAATTTTGAGGTGAAAATGGGAGGAGGACGATTTAACGTTAATAAAATTCACAATTAATTTCAGTTCATGTCGATATAGGCTACAGCAGTCGACTTAATTAAATGGCACAACAGACTTATAAGAAGGGATGGATGTTTGCTTCAAGTGATAGGCCAGGTACGTGAAATTATATTATCTTGCTGTATTTGTGTCATTTTCTTTATGTTTTCTGACTAAAAGCAACCAAAACGCCATTTTAAAGTGGTTAAGCAAATAATAATAATAATAATCGGCAGGGATCCCCAGACCAATACAATTAGTGCCTCCTCTATTTGAAACCCCACGAGCCGCCACTGCTCACATACACTCACCAAGGTAATTGCGCGTTGGCACTGTTTCCTTGATGCGTATAGTGGTCGCCCCGACAGGAATGATGAACATCTGATTGTAACCTGTAAGCAAGAGATAAAACTATTTTTTCAGGCACAGGAACATACATACAGTATAAAATATAAATGCGGCTATATCTTGGGTGAGTTTACCTTTGGGCAGGTTTCGCATTGAGAAACTGTTTTTGGCTAGATTGCATGACTGTCCGTTTCCTCCACACTGTAGACAGGGATCCTCCTCCTGGAGCGACTCCAGCATGTTATCACAGCCGAGACGCTGTGAGCAGACAAAGAACAGAAACAGCGCTGTAGTTCTCTAAACACCCTACACAGTCAAGGTAAAACACAGGGACTGAGGCTGCGCGATTTAACAAAGATGCTATTGTTCAACTCCACACTGTGAGATTCTTAATGTCTACTGAGAAATCTCAAACAGCCAATTAAAGGCTCTTACGCCTTTTTAAACAACAAAAAAGCTCACTGTTTTCACTGTCTTCCTACTTTTAAAGGGGTCATATGATGCGAAATCGACGCGTTTCAAAAAGGGGGCATAAAGGAGAGAAACAAATGTATAGTATGTGGAAAATAATGTGTTTTTTGAACCTTAAACTGCATAAACACATTTCATTACACAAAATAATGTTCTTTTTAGCAGCATCATATGACCCCTTTAAAATGTCAAATTTAAAGCAATTGTGTATATGCTGATTATTCTGAGTAGACCTCATTAATAAACCAAGAACAAATGACTAAACGTTAAAATGAATTCCAAGAATGTAAAGCTCTTAGGCATGAATAATATTTACTAAACCACAGCAGGCAAGAAAGCACCTGCACTAGGGATGTGCAAAACTGCATATTTCCATAATTGACTAATCAGTTGGGTGGGATGTCTGGATGATAGTCGGTTTTAAAGTTTTTTTAAAGATTTAAAGATTTTTTCTCACTCTTCATCTTTCATGACATTTGATGTGCTCTGTGTATGTGTGCTGATTAAAGTTTATATGTGAATCAGTGTTATTTTAGTATCAACTGAGAGACTATTATATGTTTTATTATTAGTTTTTATTTTTATATTTTCTATTTTAATTTTTGTATTTTTTGTCATTTTTATTAATAATATTAAAAATTGTCATTAATTTTAACCTAAATGAAAAATGTTGCCTTGGCAATTAGATGAAATAAAATATGTTTACTTATTTATTTTTTAGTTCATGTTTATTTTTTACATTTTTTGTAGTTCTAGTTAACGTTAATGACCCTGATGTGAGTCAAAGCCCAAATTAAATATTTAATGAAATTAAGCAATTACTTTCACAATCTCTTTATGAACTTTTTAAAGCATCAAAGTTTTGATTGTATGGACTTTCAATGGAGGGACAGAAATCGCTCAGGTTTCATTAAAAATATCTTCCATTTGTGTTCTGAAGATGAACAAAAGTCTGGGTTTGGAACAACATCGAGTAAACGGTGACAGGAGTTTCTTTTTTGGGTGAACTATCCCTTTAAGAAAGACCTCCATAATTGGGCTGGTCATTTCTGATTAGACTCATTTCTTATAGGGGGCTCACACAAACTGAGAACTTTGGATTGAGCACTCTAACAGGAACAAAGCAGATGAATTGAGGTCTGCCAGTACCTGTTCTGAAAGTTGTTCCTGTGGGCAGGGGATTTGTTACACAGGCAGTGTTTTGATGGCTTTAGCAGCGGTGCAGTAATGGGGAATGAATTTAGAAACCACTCAAAGAGAATTTATCAAGAGTGGTTCTGTCTCTAAATTCATCTGCTTTGAAGAAGAAAGAAAATCTAAATCTAAAGATAAAATAAAATGTAGATTACTACTGGGCTTCAAGTATCTACTAGTTGACTGGTCGACCGTCTGGTCGAAATTAGCAACTCTTTCAAAATCTATACGAGGTTTATTCCACACTCGGGTAAGTTGGTTAAAATAAGTGTAGATGACTGAAGTGGACTGTTGCGCTAACCTTACAGAGCCCCTCCACACAGATGTCCTTTCCTCCGGGATGGCAGGGTGTGCCATCCACCACCGCAGACTTGTGCTGAAAGTAGAAGTTCTCTCCTCTGGGAATGCAGCTGAGCTCACAGGGGTTTTCTCCTGAACAGAAGAGAGAAGATACAGCATAACATTGGCACTGTCACCTGCACAGAATTTCTGCTAAACCTCTAGTATACCATGCTACATTTTTCATTTTGAGGTGAATCAGCCCTGGCACACAGAATCACTTCCTGTCTGTACATACCACCATAGTATGGCAGCCATTTGTAGCGCTTTCCTTGAAAATCAGTGCCATCAAACTGAGAGCACTGCTCCTCTCTGAAATCCCTGGATCCCTCGGGACAGTCCTGATAGCTCAGACAAAAAGAAGGTTTGGGGTTAGAAAATTAATACTCAGCAAGGATGCATTCAATTGATCAAAAGTGACAGTAAAAACATTTATAATGTTACAAAAAGTTTCAGTTTGGAATAAATGCTGTTCTTTTGAATGTTTTATTTATCAAAGAATCTTGGTTAGTTTTGTTATGGTAGTTTTCAACGTAGCTAATAATCAGAAATGTTTCTTGAGCAGCAAATCAGAATATTAGTATGATTTCTGAAGATCATGTGACACTGAAGACTAGAGTAATGATGCTGAAAATACAGCTGCGCATCACAGAAATAAATTACAGTTTAACATATATTTACATAGAAAACAGCTATTTTAAATCACAATCGTTTTTCACAATATTACTGTTTTTTTACTGTATTTTTGATCAATAAAGTGCAGTCTTAGTGAGCAGAAGAGACTTCTTTCAAAAACATTTTTGACCACAAACTTTTGAATGATAATGTAGATATTAATAATGTCAAAGCAAAATACAATATACAATGCCCAAAAGCAATTAACTTTAGTATGGTACTAATTGATTAGATATAAAATGTAATTTCTAACATGCACATGGATCAGGTTTCCAGTGCATACCTGGATATTACACGAGCGATAGGACTTCTCTGGACCCACACAGCTATGCCCTCCATCAGTTCTGTAGAAAGAGGACACATGAACTAAAGGTGAGATTTTGCTAGGATGTTTTCACAAAACACAGTATTGCAAGGCAATCTAGTAAAACCAAGTATTCATATTTGCAGTTGACAATGTTTTTAACATGCTTCTTTTTTTAAAATCTGAGAAATACTCAACTCAGTGTTGTTGTGTAACATTACTGTAATGTAGCATGGTAACTAGCAATTGCCAAACATATTTTGCATTATGCAAACATGAATTCAATTATGCACGTGGTGTTCAAGAGTTGCGGCATTCACATATAAGACAAAATGCAATGCAATTCACATTTATTTGTATAGCACTTTTCACAATGCAACACAAGATTATTTTAAATGTCTCTTAGAGCCCACAAAAAAAAGTTTGAAAACACCCTAAAATCAAGTGTCTCACATTACAGACATGTCTAAGGATGCATACAAACGCACACCCTCGCTAAAAAAACACACCCACGCAGACACACAAAAGCACAGAGATCATAACAAGTGTTCTCTCTGCTTATAGGTGTGTACCGAGACACAACAAGTTCCGCACTACTTCATACATTTACTCGTCTGGTCCAAATGCGTCATCCCGTTCTCCTGTCCTCATACATCAGTAACATCAATAATGAACAGATACAGCTGCGTGGAGTTTCCAGTATTTCTAAATGTTATGTCAGCACATGACAGACAGTAATATTGAGAGGTAAGAGTCAGGGAGCGGTGTGTGATTCACCCGGCGAGACGAAAAGACGCAGGAGTGCACAGGTACAAACACTCACACCAAGCTGGAAGAGAGATGTCTGAAAGTCCCAGAAACATCGCCTCAGGGGAACGTTCTAGTCTTGAGCGAGAAGTGTATTCAGAAGCTCAAATTTCTCACATGTTATTGAGTTCACTTGTAAAAACTCGGTTTCTGGGAAGTTCTGACACACATGCAGCTTTATGTTTCTCAATGCATCGTGCATGCACAATAACATGGTTATTTCATGCAAACAAAGACAGAAGGCATTCCAACTGGTAGGAGTACTGTATGAATACATTTTCTTATGGGAAAGTATTATTTAACTTAATTTGGGCTAGGCAAATCATTTAAAGAGGAGTGGTACATTTATAGAAAATCTGCCTTGTTTTCATACGGCGCCGTTCACTGAGTAAAATGCAAGACTAAACACGCAGACCAGATTCCAACACCCAGATTTATGACCAAAGCTCTCAATGTCCTGGTGAAGACTTTCCCCAGCCAAGTCCCTATCACTGAAACTCACAATTATACAATGCACCATGTTCCTCTTAAAGTGCATACTTGACCTTGACCTTGCATACTTGACTAAATCAGTGTGTGTGACAAAAGAAACATTGCATATCACTTCTGTAAGATGAACAGATGATGCACTTTTAAAAATAAAGGTTCCAAAAGGGGATTTGCAGTGATGCCATACAAGCACCATTTTTGGTTCCTCAAATAACCTTTCAGTAATCAGTTCTTAAAAGAACCATTTTTTTTCTTAGTGTGAAGAACATTTTTAAATTCTCACTATGAAGAACCGATGGACAGTTTTCATGGATGGTAAAGGTTCTGCATGGAACAAAATAATCTTTCTACTTTTCACATTTTTTACTAGTGCTGTCAAACGATTAATCGTGATTAATCGCATCCAAAATAAAAGTTTGTATTATTTACATAATATATCTGTGTGTACGGTGAATATTTATGTATATATAAATACACACATACAGTATATATTTTGAAAATATTTACATGTATATGTTTATATTCATATAATTTATATTATATATAAATATATTTAATATATAAACGTAACATTTTTCTAAAATGTATACATGCATGGGTGTGTATTTATATATACATAATAAATGTACACAGTACACACACATATACTATGTAAACAAAAACCTTTATTTTGGATGCGATTAATCGCGATTAATCATTTGACAGCACACATTTTTACATAATTTCACATTTAATTCACTTGCCATATCTTAGTGAAATTTACTAGTAATTCCTATATGAAAATAGTTTCTACATAATTTTTTTCAGTGTACTGTAGATGCCAATACAGAACCTTTATTTTTAAGAGTGTAAATAATATCTTAAGGACAGGAATAGAGAATAGGGACTCTTTAACTGAACACCTGGAGGCCAGGCATGTTTCTAAAAAGCCAAAAGATGTAAACAAGGATGATGACTTGTGCTTTCAATCGTGCGCTCTTCACTGAATAATGACACAGCTGCCTTGACTAGGTTCACGTCTCAGTTTACAGTCTTCTTTTCAACTGGATATTCTCCCTTCAGCTACAGAAGAATAACTCACTCTCCTGTGCATTCAAAGCACTATTCGATATCTCGTTTTCAGCTCTGATGAACCCCTTGACATCTGTTTCATCCCTGAACTAACTCAAGTTAACTCATCAAAGGCCACTGGATGACATTAGAATAACAGTAAATAAAAGAGTCTCTCGATGACATGAGGCTGTGAAAGTGATGACAGTCTGCCACTCACCGCTGGGTTACACATCGTCTCGTCCTCATAGTAACCCCACCGCCACAGCTGCGACTGCATTCGCCATACGGGCCCCACTCATCCCAGAAATCACCGGTGGGTTGCTATAAACACGGTTAGCAAATCATCAGTTTTTATCAAATCACATACTGTATGAAGTTAGTTAAAGTCATGAGGAAATGTACGCTGCGACAGATATTTTCTGCCACATTATGATTATCTGAAAAATAAAAAAATGCAAGGCAGGACTTGGTTCAGTGCAGCGGTTGCTGATTGGATGTTGAGATGTGGGCGTGGCTCTCAAAAGTGGAGGTGAGCTTGCAGGGGCGGAGTTTACGAAAATGATCAGAAAAGTCCTGCTAAATGATCGGAGAAGACCTGCATATGTCACCGGAGAGAAATCAGTCGTTTTCACTGGAAGGTCCAGTTATGACATTTTTTAAAAAGAAACATGGACGAATCATTAACAATAATTCACACTACATCAAGAATTTGTCAAATAGAAAGGGTGAATTTTCGTGTCATGCCGACTGCAAGCTTTAATCACTCTGTGTTATTGTAAGATAACTGAAATATTGTGCTCATATCAATTACATTTTATTAATGCGCAACATCTCTGGAATGCTTGACTTTGATTGGTCAATCTTGGTATTCTGTGGTTTTCGAATAATGATGCTAAACTGTATAACTGACAGCCTTTCCAGACAACTGATTTTCTACATAGCTGCCATAAATGTTGCCATAAGTGTCACTCCACACCATTTCTTCTCGCATGAAAAACAAATCCAACTCAATTAAATAATCATTTTTCGTGAGTGTCCATTCTTTGATTTGGCAAGTAGCTGTGTGATTATGTTGTTAATGTGATGAAGTACAACTGTAGTTCCTCTGCTAAAACTTTACTTTCACTCTCACTTTAGTGCAGATCGCACTTGAAGATATTTGGAAACATCCAAACACTTAATCTGAAAGTCAATGTATAGGATTTTCTGAATGCAGCACTAATACAATGACATTCAGACAGTTATAAAGTTGCCATGAAATAAACATTTTATTTTCTAATCTATTTACTTAACACATTTTCTTATGTGTTAACAATTCATCCATGTCCATGTTTTAATTTTTATTTAACCTGTGCTGCCAGGATTTCTCCATTAATTTAGCGAGATTAAACTGAGAGCCACGCCCACATCTCAACATCCAATCAACAACTGATGCATACAAAGTCCCGCCCCCCACACTCAGATGTACATCACAATACAGAAGAAAAAAATCTATTTCATTGCGACTTTAAGTGTGACTTAAGTGCTCAAATGTCACCAAATATTTTGGGGGCCACTATTGTATTTTAATATTACATATGTTCCTGAACAAACAGTTCAGTACTTCTGTACTATGTTTCTGAGTATATGAAATGTGGCCAGCATTTAGATATACATTTTAAAGCAGATGAGGTTTGTCCTCACATACTATGTGCTGGGATGTTTTGCTTAACAGTTACATGTCTCTGTTTCAGATTTACTGGCTGTATTCTACCTTACATGATGATGTAAGTGTAATTTGTTGACTGGAACTATCATCTGTTATAGACTACTGCAATATTTCACTCACCATGAAAGCAGAGGCCAGTAACAGCTGTAGACAGGCCACAACCGACAGCATCCTGATGGCTCAAAGTCAATCCTGACTGGATACAACACACAGCACACATGCTTAAACCACAACACCTGTGCCACACAATATTAAGTGTCCAGATGACACGTGGACAATATACCTGTTTTCTGCCAATTCAATGTTCACACACCCAACGTCCGTCCTGCAACAGACAAAGGTGTGTGTTAGTTTTCTGTTCATTTGGAATAGCCCTGAAGCTATGCATGCTCAAACAGACAAGACACATCACCTCGGCTCAAAACATGAATTATGGAAAAAAACAACAACATTAGATTGGCAACGCAGGAACGCATGCCAAACAGCCCGCGGAAAGCGCTATTTGAGATTTAACATTTGCAATCATCGCCATGCAAATCAAAACTTTCTTTAGATTTTCATTTATTTAGTACCCCAATGACCAATTCACAGCCCTAAACTGTCATAAAACAAGCATGAAGTCAGAGATTTTTGCTGAGGAAAAACAAAACAAAACTGTGTATCATACTCTAACCAACACAACACCAAACTTTCAAGTCATTCAGAACACAAAAAAATCTGCACAGAAACAACTGTAATCAATATGTGCTCTAAACTGACCCAAACATATTTGATATCCTCTGACTATATTAATGCATAGTCTGAAGCTAAAAATAAAAGTACAAAGTTCATACACTTCACTTTCTGTGAAACTTCAGACTTCAGTATACCTTTAAAATTCAAATTCAAATTCTGATTTTGAAGTGAAAAATAAGTTTTGATGGATGGATGCATTAATTGTTTTGACTGACCTGAAACAGTTGAAAATTGAACATCAGATTTATTCGGATATAACAAAGCCTTAGGTCCCAATCATCTTGTTGCACATAGGAGCACTTGATTGATTGCCATACAACATTTCTGAAAATGCCAGAATTTTAGAGGCTATACGATTTAGTGCCATTACAATTAATTGGTGCTCACCAAGTGCAAAAACCACCGATTTTGCAAGAGCAACGACCCTTAAAATCTGTCTCAGGTGGCCATATGAAATTATAATTCAGCAAAATGAATGATTATTTAGTCCTCAGTTGTGTGACTGTTGAATTTCTTCGAATTGAAATTCAATCGATTCCTCTTCCCATCATCCCAATTCAAATCCACAACACAACTCATCATCCTGTGTTCACTTCAAACCCACATTCATGAATCAAAAGCAGCCAGTTCTTAATTTCTGAATTTGCCTGACGTTGCGGTGATCTGAGGGCACTGAGGTTTGTTTGGAGTGCCAGTGCTGTATGTGTGGCACTATTGTTTGAAGCAAATTACCGTAACTGTGATTTGGGGCAGCCAACGGTGAAAGCGCTTCAGCTCAGTGATGCCAGTATACACTAGACTTCTGGGTAGTCAAGCAACACTCTCAGAAATCATGTTCAATCAGCCTGAAACAAGCTACGAAAGATCTATAATACAGTAAATGGCGGCTTTGCTGCCAGTCTGAGCATGCTGCCACCTGCCAACGCCGCTGCAAGTCATGCTTTTCTGAACTGCAGGAGAACCTATAGGTGCTGTTTCAGATTTTGTTCAGATGTGAAATATATTTAATAAATTCATAGACATTTAATGTGATGTAAACTGTACTTGTATATGTAATCTCTCCCATTAAAACACACCGAACAGTCATCGAAATGGACATACAGCCAAAATATACTACAATCAAAAGACTAAAAATTTAACAAGAAAGCAGCTTTGCTGTATGAGACTTTAATGTATCTAAAACTAAACATCATGCTGTTAATTAGGCCTAAATAATGTTGACTGAGAGACTATAGGCAATATTTGTACTTTTGAAAATTCATTTCACACCACTTTACATAAAATGTGACAAGAAATGTTGATAAAGCATATTTTAAACTTATTTTGATTCATCTGAACTTGCTTTGTTTCAATAACATCAAATACTGTCTGACTGTTTAGTTTCAGTTCATTGTTTCTAAGTTTTTTTGTAAAAACAAAACAAACTAAAAATCATGTAAAAATGACATCCAACGGCATTCATTCAGATAATAAACTTTTTAACCAATAATCCAGCCAGAGTACAAATAGGATTCCCGCATCGATCCCCAACAGAGATCGATGAAACTATCACTCAGCACACACCTTGATGAACTGCTCGTGTTTCAGCGAGAACCTCACAAACTGTTTTTGTTTTCCTCACACAGAAACACATTGAAAGAGAAATTAACAATATCTCGTAAACATATAACTCACTTTGACTTGTTCCGGATGTCGAAAGAAAGCAGAGTTGATGATTGCATCTCACGCTGATGATCTACTCTCTGTCTCTTTCTGAGGAGCGTGAGGGAAGAGTGGTGTTAAATGTCCACAGTGCGTCACACACACACACACAACACTGAGAAAAGAAGCGTTCAGTTGTAACATTTTAATAGTGGGAAAAACTCCCCTAACAAAAATAGCCTATAACCATCGTTTCAACCCAATTAACATATTTACAAATACTTACAAATGCCACAGTTACAGTTTTTCTTACTGTTGTACAATTGTGATGTTTTGTCACGCATAACATAAAAAATACTAATAATTAAACGAAAAGATATAAATGTGAGGTTTGTTACAAATCCTATTTTTCGGAAAAACAAATGCTCTGAAGCAGTATACTTTGGCTTGTCCACTGTAACACACTGTTATTAGTGATGGAGATTTCTCAATGACTCTGCTGCAGTCACCGTGACTCCAATAGGTGGCGGCAAGTGAGTCATTGTATCATTCACTTAAAGGGATAGTTCACCTAAAAATGAAAATTCTCTCATTAATTACTCACCCTCATGCCGTTCCAAACCCGTAAGACCTTCGTTCATCTTCGGAACACAAATTAAGATATTTTTGATGGAATCTGAGAGCTGTCTGACCCTCCATAGACAGCAACACAACTGAAATGTTCCCAAGTCCAGAAACGTAGCAAGGAGTAAAATAATCCATGTGACATCAGGGGTTCAACCGTACTTATAGGAAGCTACGAGAATACTTTTTGTGCGCGAAAGGAAAAAAAATAACAATTCCTTATGAGGAATAATCACTGAAATCTATATTAAGTCATAGATAATTGGGAATAACTCACCCAAAAGCTAAATGGTGTGCATACATTTTCAACAATGTCTGGAATCAATTATTCTGCTTGCTCCATGGTATTTTTTTTTTTAACAAAAAACAACACAAATACTGTAATACAAGTTTCCTTCACTCCTTTATAACAAGTCTCTGTAATCAAAAATATTCCCAACATGCACCTAGTAAACATTGGGTCGTCAGTCCGTTTGTGGTCTTTCAGAGTTGTCGGCTGAGCTTCTGGGCTTGCCTCTCCTTGGCGTCAAAAGCGTACTTGGTGTCCTGCAACTGCTCGATGATTTCTTTAGCCTCCTTCATGTCCTGGGCCAGCTGGTTGTACTTCTCAGCGAGCTCCTGGTTCTCCCTGCGGAGCTCCACCACCAGCTGGCTCAGCTCCTCGCTCTGCCGGCCACAGTGCAGCTTCAGCTGCTCCATCTCCACGAGGGTCACCTCCATGCGCTTCACCAGGCCTTCCAGTTTTTCCTTCGACATGGTTTCTAGTGGAAGTTGTAGGTCTGGGTTGCAGAGAGTGGCAGATAAGAGAGTGGCTGTGTCCTTGGTGCGACTCAACTAAGCACTAATGGCCTAATCCTTGAGCGCTGGCTTGTCTTGCGTGTCATAGGACACGCCCTCACACTTCTAGTAATCCCCTTAGAGGAGCTATCCTTAGCCACATCTCCTGTAGTCTTGGTGGCCTAGATGCTCAAGACTCACCTCCAGAGATTAGTGTGTCTTACAGCCTTGTATGGCCTCAAGTAAGCCAGCTTAATACCGTACCGGGAATTGAATGGACCTGGGGAAAACAGGCTATCAGGAAAAGGAGTGACCAAATTTAGCTCTGCTTCCTCACACTGCCACAAATAAGTTTTAAAGACCAAACCGAATTGAACCCAACTTGACATAAGGTATTCTGTGTGGTTATTTGCTAACCCAACTCAAAAGAGTCCATCCCCAATCTCTGTGATGTTTTGCCTTCTCATTTAATTTATTTCCATTTCATTTGCCTGGAACATTTTACACTGCATTCAAGCCATACCGTACATCTTTTTGGGAATCAAGCCCACAACCTTATCGCTACTACAATTGTGCTCTACTGCAGGAACATGCAATGCTGGTTCAGGAGGTCCACTCTTGCACAGTTTAGCTACATTTCTAATCAAACACACCTGAAAAAAGTCTTCAAGATTGCTTAAAAATTCCAGGCAGGTGTGTTTGATTAGGGATGGAACCAAACTCTGCAGAACAGCAGTCCTCCAGGACTGAAGTTTCCCAACCCTGCTCTACTGTTTGACCTATAGCAGGGGTGTCCAATCCCACTCCTTAAGGATCACCTTCCAGGAGAACTTGGCCCCTGCCCCAATTAAACACAGCTGAAACACCTAATCAAGGACTTCAGTTCACTAGAAGTTTCCACAATGGTGTGCTGGAGCTAAACTCTGCAAGAAAGTGCCCTTTTAGGAGCAGGATTGGACACCTATAGGACATCTAGAACAGTGGTTTTTAAACTATTTCCTGGGGACCCACAGCTCTGCACATTTTGCATGTCTCCCTAATTTACACACCTGATTCAGATCATCAGCTCATTAGGAAAGAGCTCCATGAACTCAAATGTGACCCTGGACCACAAAACCAGTCATAAGGGTCAATTTTTCGAAACTGATATTTATACATCATCTGAAAGCTGAACAAATAAGCTTTCCATTGATGTATGGTTTGTTAGGACAGGACAATATTTGGGCAAGATACAACTATTTGAAAATCTGGAATCTGAGGGTGCAAAAAAAATCTAAATATTGAGAAAATCGCCTTTAAAGTTGTCCAAATGAAGTTCTTAGCAATGCATATTACTAATCAAAAATTAAGTTTTAATATATTTACAGTAGGAAATTTACAAAATATCTTCATGGAAC